ATGGGAATGCCCATGTTCTAACAAAAAAATATATATTATATTTTACTGCCCTGACCAATCTGCAATTTGTTAGAGTTTTGAAGGTAAGTCTGGCAATTACATCTGKAATTATGTATATATTTTCTTCTCAYATTGAATTAAATTTTATTATATGGTTCTTCAAGTCTGGAAAATACCTATGATGAAAATTGACTTTATACTCTTGCCTACCTCCTTGTCCATGGTGGAAGACAAATATTCCAATAAGATTGACAAAAAATCCTAAAACTGACACTACAAATAAACGCTCATGCTTTACTTCAGGTGGATGAAGTGCCCTCTGTCAAAATAACAATAAAATAGCTTCAATTTATTACAAAATAGGAAAAAACAAATTTACAGATGATAATACACCATCACTTGTCAGACTGACAGAGGCTGGTACTATGTAGAATATTTGACAATTATGTATCAAAAGATACAAGCCAAAAACCGACAGYAACATCAGTATACAACACTCCAACCTGACAAACATATTTATAAACTACATGTATGTACTGCTATCTATGTTTCTTTAATTACCTCCACTGCTTCAGAAAATATGAAAAAAGCTACAAATATTAAAAACAAGCCATTCACAAATCCTGCCATAACTTCAGCTCTTCCATACCTACRAAAGGACAGAATAATGATCTTCCACACATGTAAAGCTTGCTTTTCGCCTTTCAAGTCAAGTAGATATAGTGTAGATTGTTTTATTTTGGGGGTTGGGGAAGGAGGGAGGGAACTTGGATTTCCTTTCTGCCTGATAAATGTTTGTTTGTTTGCTGTTTTTTACTAATATGGACAATTTAGTACCCTTTGCCATGATAAGAATAGTCCTCCAGATATGTCCACTAGATTTGCTTTCACATTATTTCAATGCTAAATCTGGTTCCCATGGATTCATGAATGTATCTTTGATGTTTGATATGATCATAAGTTTTTTATTCTATTTCTAGATTATACATGAAAATCTTATATAAASTATAAACAATATAAACAGCTAAAATTACTGCAATCAATTCCAYATCAGGTGGTCAACTGATTAAATAGAATTTGATAACTCTATTCTATTCTTTGAACACCTTAAAATGGCTTTAATTTCAGCAGTCAAAATAAGTCTGGAGATTTCAAATCAATTACAAAATGCAGTACTTAAAATAAACCCAAATACCTAGAGATCAAATTAATTGTTATCATGATCWGATAAGTTTTAAGTCTGAAAAAGTCATAACAGAAAAAAAATGTAAATATTACATACCCATATGAAAACCTTTCATTTTTACCCCATCTAGAGATAACTGAAGCTATAAGACCAGCAAGAAGTGCAGTACAATCAAAGAACATGTGAAATGAGTCGGAGATCAAGCCAAGACTGCAAAAACATCAATTTATATTCTTTAGACATGTGGCATGGATGATTAATGTCAATTCTTGAACATAGTTTACCTGTTAGTCCATATCCCATACGATAATTCGACAAAGGCAAACGAGAGATTAAGAAGTAAGAAAAAGAACAGATTTCTGGAGCTTGGACTTGAAAAAATAGCCCTAAATATTACAATTATAAGTAAGTATATTACGAAGCAAAGAAATTATCAAGACCGGCTTCTTTGCTTACTTGAGCCATTCAATCAAACGATTTCTCAGTCGTATCGATGGCTTAAAATCGTCGCCTTTGTAGCTGTCCTTACTAGAGAATGGAAGCATGATGTCTATAAGGATACAGAAAGGCTAAATAGTGCATAAAACTAGGAATCTYGTTGATCAAAACATCTCTACAATCAGTCAAGTTATCGGTTTCAAACTACACTGTACGTGGCAGCTCAGTCTTCGACTTCCGGTGGGTTACTGCAAAGGCTCATGGATACAGGAAATAAAATTGAGAGTTTCAGTTTAGTCATTTTAATTTAAAAAMCAGCTAAAATGCTACAGAAAAAAACGGTCCAAACCAGRAAATCTTTGATGTAATATCYTTTATGATATTTATAGCGGATTTTAATAAAATCGATATCATTTTTTCTATTTTGAGATCCCTGGGACAACACAATGTTGTACAAAATAATAATCAATTTCGAATTAGTCAATMAAAAAAATAACTTACAAAGTAGGAAAAGAACAATTTAGAAAAAAAAGATCAAACATGAATTCAAGTATAAAGTATATAAATATGGTAATTTTTTGATATTTCGGTTTCCCTGTGGTGGGTTTTGATTGGTTGTTAGGGTAAACTCCAAAATTTAAAATCCGTTTTAATGAAAAGCATTCATTTCATTGAAGATGGCCGACTTACAAGARGCCGGCGAACTCGTSTGCACAGTAAATGTAGAAAGCTTAAATCCCACTAATGGAACTGTAACACGACGGCGTGTTTATAAGAATGTCTCAATAKTGTGTTGCAGAGACGAGTTAAGAGACATTGTTCTTCGAATCTTGGCCAAGAGTTCTCCCCTAGCGAAAAACTACCGACTTCGCGATATACAAATCCACAAACGATTCCTACAAGAAGGAAAAGCAACAATTAAACTAGTTACGCAGAACTTACAACTRCTAATATCAAACAGTCCACCAAGTAAGCTTGCATTATTCTTAAAATGYTTATCTTTRAAGCTTGCTCAAAGGAAGGAAACCGGCTTTGCAAGTGAAAGAGCAAGGATTCGAAGCGATGTTCCTCGTGGGTTTGAAACCATTAGTCCTCTCACAGAAAGGGATTTTACCACTAAAAAAAGACCGTTTGCGGAGGTGAATGGTAATATAACTCCGAAACGATGTAAAATTCAGAAAACAAACTGTTCTACAAGTAGTGCTGGGCCTCGAAAAAAGCTGAATGTCATGTCTAGTTTGCAGAATAACTTCACAGACGAGCAACAAGAGGTAGTCAAAGCCGTCCGTGRAGGAAAGAGCATATTTTTCACAGGAAGTGCGGGGACGGGAAAGACTTATCTYCTCAAGAAACTTATTGGTATTTTACCACCAGAAGGAACGTTTATTACGGCAAGCACTGGAGCTGCTGCTTGCCATATAGGAGGAACTACTTTGCATGCCTTCGCAGGTATGAAAATGAATRAATGAAAAAAGAAATAAAAGAAGTACATTTAAATGACATAATCTGTGTTTCTCAAATACCAATAAAGCAGCTGTAACTTATAAGTATTCACTATTAGTTTGACTTACAAACCATCAGGTATWGGAAGTGGTAGTGCTGACGTAGAGCAGTGCATCGAGCTAGCATCAAGGCCAGCAAGACTACGGCTCTGGAAAAARTGCAAACGTCTCATCATTGACGAAATTTCTATGGTTGATGCTGAGCTCTTTGACAAACTTGAAACTGTAGCAAAGTRTACAAGAAATGATGACAGRCCTTTTGGAGGAATTCAGMTGATTCTGTCTGGAGATTTTTTGCAGTTGCCACCYGTAACAAAGTTTACWGATGGGAAAACTAAGAAATTCTGTTTTCAGGTAGAGATCATAAAATAATCATAAATGTAATGCAAACACTATTMATTTCTCTCTGCTGTACAAAGAGAAATGGAGCAAGCAATTGTTTCTCACCACAGGGTCAATAAGTACTGTACTTCATCAATTGAACCCATTTTGATACCTCAAAATTTATAAATTTCTTCATTTTAACAGGCAGAGAGCTGGTTCAAGTGTATCAATAGAACTATTGAACTGACTCATGTCTTTCGACAAAAAGATCCAATGTTCATTTCCATTTTACAGAACATTCGGGTTGGAAGGTAAGGATAGTCTATGGAAGATCATCCATTACATATGTTTTGAAAGTTAAACAAAATAAATAAAATTCATGAYTACAATTATTAGACACCTAAACTCTTACATGTTCTTAGCTGTTGTGATAAGATAACATCAAAGTTGACACAAACAAGAAACAACACCATTGAAAAAGATGGTGTTTTGGCGACCAAGTTGTGCACCCACAAAGAAGATGTTGACCAAATCAATCAAATTCAYYTATCAAAAATTACTGGAAAGTCACAAATCTACCAGGCTAAYGACAGCGATTCAGGACAGTCACACATTATATCAAGACTGGTTCCTGTTGCAGAGARAATTGAACTCAAGATTGGAGCTCAGGTACACAKGCAAATGAATTTCCAATGTTTTGTCAAAGATYATTCCTTTCATTGTCCTCCCTCTCYCCAAATGCTTCAATCTTTMTTTGCTTGGGGACACATACAAACTATGGCATTGCATACTTGTAATTAGGTATTTAATTATTAATTATTACAACATACGTAGCATGTACACATAACTCTTGAAACAAAAAGATTGAAATGGGAGCAGGAATTCTAGTTTTTTCCATTTATATTTTGTGGATTGAGTGTSCTGCACTTTACTATTGGTTGACACCCATAATTTGCTGTTTGTTTTCAGGTGATGTTGGTTAAGAATCTTCATGTGACTGAAGGTCTAGTTAAYGGTGCTAGAGGTGTTGTAAAAGGCTTTGAATCTGGAAGTGTTGGTAAGTTAAAAATACTGCAGTGGTGGGTAAATAAATATGTATCACAAGTCTGATTTAGTCATGACATTGTTCTTTTTTCAGTTAATCCAATTGTCAAGTTTGCATGTGGAGTTGAGAGAACTATTACACAAGAAAAATTTGTTGCAAAGACGGCAGGAGGCGCTGTGTTGACTAGAAATCAACTACCACTTAAACTAGCATGGGCAGTATCCATCCATAAGAGTCAGGTAATAGTTTTACATTATTCATGTACAAACATGGAGTATCTTGTTTTTAAGTGTTTTTATCTACAGTTGACTTTCTTTGAACGACCACTCTCGTAAGCAAACAACTCCCATAAACGACCACCTTTTGAATTCCCCATTATAATTGTTTCCCATATAAACTCTGTAAAAAAAACTCTCTTGTAAGCGACCATCTCCCGTAAGCGACCACTTTTTCCTGATCCTGAGGTGGTCGCTTACGAGAGTTGACTGTATTTGTTTTTCTAATTTATCTATTTATACATTAATYGTATAAATATATGTTTAAGAAAAATGTATTTATACATTATTCATTGATTTTTTCACAGGGAATGACACTCGATTGTGTTGAAATCTCTCTTGCCAACGTCTTTGAATATGGACAGAGTTATGTTGCTTTGTCTCGTGCTCGCAGCCTTCAAAGTCTAAGAGTCTTAGATTTTGACAAGAAATGCGTAAGGGCCCATCCTGATGTTCTGCGGTACTATGGAAATCTTAAGAAAGAGCAACARATGCTGAGGAAAATACCATTAGGAAACACAATTAGATGAGTTACTTTTACTTTGAATCAAGCCTTCTTGGTGACCTGGTGCAAAGACRTATTTTATTTCCCAGTCCATCAGCATTCAGTAGGGTAGTTTGAATTGTAAAGATTTGTAGATAATGCAGTTACTGTACATACTAGATAGATATTTTGTACATACATGTTTATAAAACAAAAAAGTACATTAAGATACTACACAWTTTTTTCTTTATTTATTACAATTAAGCATCAGAATAAGGAATTTTAATAACAAAGATTTTATTTTTTCAGACTAGTATTTGATTGCTATCTGAGTTGACTTCACAGAATATGTCTTTAATAAGCTAGTTATAATGACATCAAAGACCATTAGTTTTAAATATATCTAGTTACTTTCATACATTTTCTAGAGTATATTTTACTTATCTTTTTAGCTTTATCCTTGGAGCCATTTCTGTTTGAGAAGCAATTTCCTCCAATTTTTTTGCATCATCCAATCACTAAAGAGACAATTCAAATTCCTACTGCAAAGAAGGCACAAACTCACATATTTCCATCTTTAACAAAAAYGGCTCCTGTTATTTTGAATTACAAAACTAGGTTTCTATTATCTTATTAATACTTTTTTAAGATAAATACAAATGGCAGGAACAATTAATAAAATGATGACTACTTTAAAAATTACTAACCATTTTTGGGAGGGTCTACTGGGATCTTCTACCTATCAATCAAAAAAATGAGTCACGAGATCAGCAAATATTAGATGATAGTGTTTCCTACAAGCAGAGCCTCCTACACTCAGTTCTGATGAGAAAATAGGTCATGTTTTCTTGTCAGAATCAACTGTAAAAGTCTTTACTTGCAGAGACMGCCTGACAGCTATGATGTAAATTGTACACTATGCTTTGATTTACAGATCAGTTAGTTTATTCTGTTTTTTGCGCTGTTTATTTAATTTTTTAGAATTTAAAATTTCTAAGACACTGACACAGATCACAGTAGTTCTTCATAAGTGTACTATGAACAGGGTTCGCGCTACTCCTTGAAATCCTTGAAAAGTCCTGAAATCGAAAACTCGTTTTCAAGGGCGCTTGAAAAGCCCTTGAAAATGTGAAAAATCGCTAAAAATCCTGGAAAACTCCAGGTTGATTTTTGGCGTTTGGATTGAAATGTGGATATTTTTGAAAATCACCACTGGAAACATTCGAAACATCAAAAAATATCTTCAATAGTAGTCCTTGAAAATCGAATTTTTGTGATTAAAAAGTACTTGAAAAGTCCTGGAATTTTGTAGTGAAAATTTTGCACGAACCCTGTATGAATGATATTAAAATTTCTCTTGAGGAAGGCAGCCTGTTACTAATCTACAGCATATGCATCAAATAAAGATAGAAAAAGTTTACATACTAGAGCATGAAGCTGTTGTGCAAACACGTTAAATGAAAACTTGCTCATGACATGTGGTCGTCCTGCCTTTCCAAGTTTTTCACTTAGATTTTCATCCTTTACAAACTTYTCCATTGACAAAGCAAATGATTCTGCATCAGGATTACACAGGAATCCAGTTTCCCCATGTTTAACAGTCTCTAATGGACCACCGCTGTTCACCGCTATCACAGGCCTTTCTCCATACATTGCYTCRATAGGTACYAAGCCAAAATGTTCATTACTAGGCGTATAGAGAAGACAGCTACAACATTTTAGCAGGGCAAGTTTTTGACTGTCTGAGAAGGACCTTATGAAAGTGACRTGRTTTGTTAGCTGATATTTGGACGAGAGAGCTTGTAGTTCCAGATAATGCTGCTTATTTTCCACMACTCTTTCATCATATCCTCCTAAAATAGGCAATAATTACGTGTAAATATGAACCTTACACAAACATAYACAATTGCAGGCGGGGACAAGCAATGRAAGGTCAACYGCTAGTATTTCTTTGACCTACCTGCAATGACAAGATGAGTATGCTTCCATTCYTCCTCAGACAGCTTATTTTTAAGCCAATCCATGGCTTCTAGTGCCAAAGGAAGGTTTTTCTTTCTCTCATAACGATTTATAGAGAGAAAGATGGTTTTTGCTTTTGGAGGAATCAGTTCTTTGATATCATCCTCATCAAAAGGGATATGAAAWGATTTAAAGTTAATGGATGGGTACAGCACAGATGGTTCATTGCTTTGAAGTGTGGTAAAYGTCTTTTTGAATGTTTCAGCTGTGAATTTACTGTTTACTAGCAAAACATCAGCCATTCCTGAAATAAGAACAGTTTTTTTAATAATCTGTACATTATTTTAATGAATTGTAATATTTATGTTCAATTAACCCACAAAACACTTGCTAAAGTTGCATGCAACACTTCAAATTCAATGTCAACAAGAAAAGAAAGTGTTTTGCTATTTAATCAGCTGTTTGATTTAAAAATATTGTACATTGATGACTGTACCTGTGGTTACCTCCTCAAGCCAGTCCAACGGCCAACGATATAACTTTTTAAGGAAACTCTTTCGTTGAGTAAGCAGTAAATCAGGAAAATGACARTAAAACAGAACTTTGGCTGAACACAACTTTAAAACAGGTATACATGCAGAGATCTGATCACACATAATGACATGGGGCTTCAAACCAGAGAAGAAAACAARATATATAGATGCATAAATCATTCTAAAGTAAGCCCAAAATGCGTARAAATGACCAAAGGTTTGTCTAGGAAGCCAGTCGCCAACTGCAGTAACTTTGAGGGTGCCATCTTTGGTCTCTTTGAAACAATGTTCCTTATCGTGGTGGGCTGTAACGAAGTGTATATCGTGGCCATGGGATTTCAAAGCCAGAGCAGCATCAACAACAAACCTCTCAGCTCCTCCTATACCAAGATCTGGATGAATAAAAACAACTTTAACCATCTTATTCTATAGGCTTTACCAAGATGTGTCTCAAAGGTTTCACAAGACTTGTAAAACCCACAGGGAGACCGACCTTTGATCAGTCGTGTTGGGCTTCCTGTGCTCTTGATTAAATCTTAAAAAAACACAGTTTTTGAAAGTAAAAGCTTAAAATGTTTTGATTTTAATGAAGATTATATCGCTCTTTTTTGGGGAAGAGTAGATTTTCTTATTATATTTCTTGTAKTAGGTGTTTTRTCCRYAAAAAGAAAAATTTAAATGRAMGCGCAGGACTAGGACCTAGCGTCATGCGCAGCAACGTAGTTTAATCAAAATGGCGGATGAGTGAACTTCATRTTTCAGGCGRAAAAATCATTATTTTAAAGCATAAAACAAAAAGAATTTCAGGTTCTTAAAGAATCAATACCAAAAGGAAAYTTTCTTTGATCTATTCAAAATATATCATAATCAAAATGAGTGATATTAGAGACATTTTAGAGCTGGAACAGCCGATTGGTGCSATACCACCGACGAAGGAGGCGATTGTATCTGGAATGAAGGTGACACTAATATAATACTAATATTTGACCTGGGTTCTTTGGAGATGTCTTTATCCTTATTAAAAGTGCAACAACACTCAAAAACTGTAAAAAATAATATTATTATCTTATTTATCATAAATTCAGTAGCGTGCAGTGCATCCTGTTCAAAAAGCTAATTTTAATTTTATTATTACTAGTTAAAAAAGCCTAAAAGGGTATCAGACGTTCCACTTAAGAGACCAGAAGGAATGCATCGTGAACTCTTTGCCTTGCTATACAATGACAGCAGGTATGACAGAAGACCCAGACACAGTCTAAGATAATAATACGATATAGAAATAGAAGAAAGTTATAGTGCTTAGAAGGAGGCAGTCCGGGAGAAAGACCCTTAATTAAATTAATAATAAATCTGGAAAAATTAATTTCCGAACTCGCTGGGATTCGAACCCACGACCTAAGATATAATATTCATTTGTATTATAATATTTTGTTGCATTCAGGGACTCTCCTCCATTAGCACCATCTGATACTACCCAAGGTTATAAACAAATGAAGGCTAAACTGGGAAGGAAGCATGTCAGGACATGGAAATGGGTTCCATTTGTGAATCCAGCACGTACCGATGGGGCAATGCTAAACCAYTGGAGAAGAACTACAGATGTTGCTAAGGAATATCCCTTTGCMAGATTTAATAAGGTGAATAAATTATAATTAATGATAATCGTTACATTTTAGACGCCTTGCATTACTGTATGGCAACACTAGAAGCATGTTACAAGGTCTCTCACTTATGTCCCATTCAACAGACTTCAATTGACTTCAATAATTGTTTTGATAATGAACTATTTTGATAAACATGAGACTTATTATAAATTGTATCATGTTGCATTAGAAAGTTGATGTTCCTGACTATACAGAAGAAGARTACCAGGTATATTATTTGCCACAATAATTGTGAAATCTCTGTTTCATGATCCATTTTTCAGTATGTTTTTATGAGTTCTTATCGTGTTATTGTACTTGTAGATGTACCTTAGTGATGGTTCGTCATGGAGTAAGGAAGAGACGGATCATCTCTTTGATTTGTGCAGGTACAGCAGCTGTTGTTSTTGTTTTCAGATTGTTTTTGAGAATTGCATTCCATTATCACTGTGATCAATACTGTATGTTTTCTTTGACTTATTTCAGGCTATTTGACTTGCGATTTATAGTGATCCATGACAGATATGATAGAAAAAAGTTCCAGGTATGTTATCCCATGCTTGATAGTGGTATGCATTCCTCATATACACAACCAATGTAAACACTATCAAAATGGTTTTATTCTAAACYGATTTTACTTCAATAGAATAGAGCAATTGAAGAAATAAAAGACAGATATTACAGTTGTGTAACAAGATTACTGAAGGTAAAAAAACATGTAAGATAAACTGTAACATGCTTTATAGATTTACTCAATAACTTGTATTGTAGGCAAGAACACCAACAGGTCAGGAACCAGCCAATCTACCAACACCATTTGATGCTCATCATGAAGCAGAAAGGAAGAACCAACTTTTAAAACTTTATAACCGAACACAAGAACAGGTACACAGTAAAAGAGAATATTATCAATCTGTCTGTCAATCTGAATTTATTAACAAGTATGATTTTTAGGTCCAAGAGGAAGAGATGCTTATAACAGAGCTTCGTAAAATTGAAATGCGTAAGAAAGAAAGGGAAAAAAAACANTCTTTTGTTCTCTCTAAGGCATCGAAAGGAAGCGTTGGCTCCAACCAAAATACAAACTTCTTCAACCTGTGAGTATTTTTGTTGTCTACTTCAATCAGTAGATGCTCTAACTATATTTAAATGAATAACAATTTCAAATACTCTGGTATCACAAAAGGAGTCAATCAAGACTGCTGTTAGCTATCTTTGTAGCTCACAAGAAAGTGAGTGAGTGAGTGAGTGAGTGGTRCTTGTGCCTCAGAAGTGCATAACAGGACGTTTGAGTTTGCGAATAAAATGATAAAAATAGCATAAAAAACAACAACAGCAAAAGAAAATGTATGTGTAGCCATGCCTTGGATGTGGATATATTAGAAATAGAAAAAGAAAGTATGTCCGTTCGTTTTCCTCTTCAAGATTAACGACCATTAACTCTTGAAAAACAAAGCAACAACTTGTCCATATTTCATATCGCTAATTGTACATCATTTCACGATGTAACTACCGTGTTTCTTCAATTAACGACTGCCATTTGTTTTAAGCTCCGGTTGAATTAACGCCAACACCTAAGGTAAGAGCTTTACCTTTTTGAGATAAAATGTATTCAAATGTATTCATTAGATGTTTTATTACATAGCAATCCAGTCCACAGTCTGCAACTCCTCTCATTGACGCTGTTACATCCTCACCAGGGACCCCTAATGCGGTACGTAACTTCATTCCCAGTCCTCTCTCTTCACGGTGTGACGTCACATGCTAGTTTTCTCGCTCACATTGATTTTCTGTTTGATTTTCAGAGAAAAAGAAGAACTGCTTCGACGTTCYTAGAACAAAATAATCCTCTGAAAAAAACAAAAAGATTCTAACACAGGCTAGTCGAAGCACCTAACACACCTACTCCCTCTTGGGAACAAAACACTCCTGCCCCACCCCCCATCGCGGGCAGCAGAATACYGATAATTCGGAATGTCAACTGGGAAAACGTTAAAAATGTTTGTAATTGTAACCAATGAAATTATTAAAAAAGTTATCAAGAGATTACTTCTTCAGCCTTTCTAGCGATACCAGTCACGAACGCCATCTTGTTTTTGGAATGCATTTATCTTTGATTTTCAAAGTCTACAATGTCGAGACTGTTGATTTATTCAATCTACTCGATCTAGTATGAAACACATCTAATCTGTAAATACATTTGGATGTTTTGAGGCAATAATTAAAATTTCAAAGCTCGCCGGCGTGGCGACTGTAGTGGAATGCGTAAGGGGCTCATTCAGGCTATTTTCTTTCTCCTCCAGGAGCAGGCTACTTTAMATGGGCAGCAATACGAGAGAAAGTAAACTCATTCAATTTGAGATATAAATGCGTTCTATTGCATCCTTGCGCATCTCCAAATGGCGGTTGTCAAAAGTCCTGCAATTTCCAGTGTATTTTAAAGTACTTTTTTAAAAAATGACCATGTGTTATTAAGCGTTGCTCCAATTGATTCCAAACKTCATCATCTAGTATTAATACGCTCTTTGATTTTATTGCAAAATTAAAAAAACGCGATCCATTTATGCTCCAGTTTTGAAATCTGAAAAGGGTTTTGGAATGTATTTAAGAGCGGGTCATTCATACATTCAGGTTAAAGATATCAAATGAAAACATACACAGTGGAATATAGCTGGCTATTATTGTATAGTATCGACTGCCTACTGTTATATCRATGTAACCAATCGTTCCTTTTGCTAAAATAATTGAAGAAATTGTAATCGAAAATGTATCTAAAAGTTGATTACATATGCTATGGAGTCGAAAGCAGGCCGCGGGCTGATACCAATCTCACATAAATYGACCGAACGGTGGTGTATTTTTTATTGAAATGGCTCATGATTTGTGGAAAAGGATCATTTGTGGCTAACGAGTCAAAATATCTTTCTMTGGAAGAAAATAAAACGGGTGGCATCAGATTAAAGTCTAACACGATAATAGATGACCCTCGAAGACTCCAATCGACCAGGCTATTCAAATTATGTAAAATTGTGGGATTTCAGCACTCTTAATGAGTTTAATTAACTCGTACTTTACTAGCAGCAATGAATACGAGTCGTTTTATTCAATATTTATTCCACTATTTGTTGCGGATATTCAAATACGACGTTTCAAGCTCGAGGTTTTTTCATTAAGTTTGTAAGATTAAAAATGTCATTGTTGTCGTACTGTTTATATGACAAGAAAATGTGGTTTCAAAACGGCAAGGGCACTTGACTCTCATTTACCTCTCGACATTAGCCACTTCTATGTAAGGACAAGGGTATCTTCTTAATTGCGTCATACGAGGGACGGTACTGTTCATGCATAGATGKYCGGGGTTTGATTTTGCAAAAATGGCTTTAATGTTTTTAAAATTGAAATATGAAAATGTGTATTGATCAATTATTAATTGCGGTCAAGATTCGGATCTTGGGTGCTACATTTCTCCACTACTAAACATAGAATCCCTGATTACTTTGATGAAATAGATTTGCGATCATTTGTTCGAAACGTGAATTAGCTCATGTGAAAGTTACGACTCAACTGCCAACTCTGTATTYCGTTGCGTGGTCGTTTGGATATAGTTAAAAAAATCATTGTTTTGCTACCTGTTCGCGTTATATTTGGCACAGKAGAGTTGTTTATATCATCACAATTAGAGTAGTGGCAGGTTGGGTTTGGTGACTGAAGTTTGAAGTGAAGACTGTCAAGACTTTAGCGTRAATGTGACATCACTTTGTCAGAATGAGTTCCAACAGTCTTTGTAAATGAGTGGATGCAGTGGTTTGAACAGTTATTTTGTCTTCTATGGGGTGCCAGCCCTTTAGCGCTGGAAAGATAACGAAGGATAACTGGTTGATTAGTGTGAAGAGAATACAGTTCTTGCRGGGARCTGCTTCATGTTCCTAGTTTTCTCTGGGTTGTGGAAGTCATCCTCAAAAGCAAAAACTTCTCTCAARAACAACTCTGAAACTTAGGTAAGTAATGGTTTAAGTTGACGWTAAATTTGTGTTTTATGCATGYAACTGTCAGGAATCTTGTACAAAAGTACAAAAAATTAATAGTCAACCGCTAGAAAATTAAGGTTGGGCAGGGTTGGTTTAGATTAATTCTTCCATAAAAGTTGAACCCTTTTTTTTCTAATATGGGAATGAAAACATGAATTCGAGCATCGTSTGYATTATCAGCACATTGTTTCAGTATGGTTTTACTCMCAGATATTCTAGTTYAAAATACAATATTGWATTGCGACGAAGTGCTTTATGGTTAGCGCGGATTTTCTTTCTTAAATGCCGCTATCAACGCAACTATGCCGCCTTCAAATACATGTTAATTGGATGTTTTATAGAATAGCGAAACTAAAAAGAGACTATAGCAGGTGCCAAGTACAAAACGACTTTTTGATTTASTATTCATGTTTTGATTTTTTCTCACTTTTGTGAAAAATTCTTGTCTCTTTTTTGTACAGATATGGCGACAATTGAAAATCTCGTGATTTTTTCATAAATTCAGTTATAATAAATTCTTACATGGTTTTCTCGTTGGTCAAACAAATTAACTAGTGTTATGCAGTTAGTTGAATTCATTTTTAGATTGAAGTTTTTTTCTTTGAAAAGCAAAAGTCTATATCGTCACTGCTCTTTCAAGACTATATCTTGATTCAGACAAGATAAAAGTCATTTTGTTCAGAGGGGAAAGAAACCATGTAATTACAAGATAATCATATTAAAATAGCCTAAAGTGGAAATTTCCTACGCCAAGCATAATTATCATGAATAATTTACAAGTTGGAAAACGGTTTGATTGGATAAAAACAACGAAAAATGTCAAAATTTCAGATCCTAGTTAATCGCAGATAATAACAATCATCATCCCACGTTTGTACAACTAAAAACGAACAAAACATSTTTTTGCACAGTAATAGGGGATTATTTTAAATTATTTTTTCATATTTTTTCTTTAATGAAAACGTCAATTTTTTGCCGTGATTAAAGTGGATTTATTGGATAAAGAATAATTCGTACAATTATTTATTGATTTGAAAACTCATCGAAAAGACTTGTTGACAACTRTGAAGTGTTAGTTTTGTGTACAGCTTATTCTAAATAGGTGCAGTGACAATCGTKTGATTGTACGACSAAATGGGACTATGGGTAGTTTGCAATAACGTTCACTCGATATKTGATGGTGTAAATATGTTTCCTTAGGGCGTTCAATGATTAGTTTCGGCAACCTTCATTGAAAGAGCGGTATACCACGTTTTTATTTGTGTCACAAGAACCGCGTCAATATCATCAACACGTACATATCGAGCTGTAGTTAACGCAAGTGTTACGTAATGAAATGGATACCGCGTTATGCCGCAAACATAGGATCTGYAACGGTCCCGAGCGAAGTARASTAYGCCAAGACTRTGACCTAGTGAAAACGYAGAGAGATAAGGACATGACGKAGTCAACTGTGAGACGAGATTGTTTTGTAGTGCGGCATTTTCAAATAATGACTTCCTTCCTCAACATCTTCCTCGTGCGGTTTTTATTTGAAGCAAGAGAAATTATCTCGTTAACCGGCAAACCGCCTTTAATAACGACCTGAATTCTTATGAAATTCATGGATTATTTTTCAATGTTCAAGACGTTAATCCTATGTTTCGTAATGCCTTAAACTGAACCGCCGTTTTGCGTCTATCATTAAAAAGTTTGTTTTGATTTGAAGGTTGCCAGCTCCTCAGCAGTCGGCAAACCAAACATCCATCTGAAAGAGTCCCAAATCGGCTTACGCGTTATCAATTAATCAGCGTCTCAGATTTTAGCATTCATTCGAGGCGTAGGCGAGRTACAAGTTTATTGAAGAATTTCTTGAAAATTCTAAAAAAGCAATTAGCRCGGATGTTTTGATTTCACAAAAAGACGATGAGGTTAACGGTACAGATTGGATGGTTTCGTTTGTAAATACACCATCAATAATTCAGGACATCGCGTTATTTAGCGGCCTTAAAAAAGACACTTGAGTAATACAGGGAAAATTTGGCTTTCTTTTAATATACACAGTACATAAACGGTTAGTGCCTCGAGCATGTATTATTGAATCGATATGAATCCGAAAATTCCTTCGTCCTCATTCCAGATTCCTACACTCGAAGTAAGAAAGACGACATTACTGACAAAGCTCTCGACACAAGGATCACCTGCTTCGTAAAGCTAAAAGAACGGCATGTTTGAAGCTGACTTTTATGAATGTGACGTACTAGATTTTTTGACAGATAGTGACGTCATCAATGACRTCATCAACTCTTGAATGCTTTCGCATTGTGCACCTTAATATAAACAGTTTTCAGTAAATGGGGTGTGGTTTATAGAATATATGATACTTTTTGTGATAGATGTGGCGCGCGTCGGTCAAATCTGCTGACTAATGCTAGGTTTGTATTTCTGGTCGTGTCGTAGTTTTATGGTACTGGAGACAAGACCGCAAATCAATATTAAACTGGCGCCATGTCTATGAAGCGTTGTTTGTGTGCAGGCCACTAAAAAAAAGAATAACACGCATTAACCAGCAAAAAAAATCAAGAATGGAAGAAAGAAGATAAAACAAAGAATATTTATTTTCTGCCGTTTTTTTTTTTTTTTTGTTTGTTTGTTTGTTTGTTTGTTTTCGATTCGGTATTCTCGATTTCCTCGTGGAACTAACTAACGGGTATAATTAACACGCCATAAAAGTAGTGCGACTTAGTTTCGACGTTATATATTTCATTGAGTGTTTAGATACATAGGTCGATACTTAAGTAGCATTACAGATATAGAAGTAACATAATAAATTATTAATAAATCATTAATTTATCTATGAAATCTGACCAGACAAACCTCATGAGCCGTTCGTCAAGGCATCGATTCCTTCACCTTATGTTTGTGTTATTGTGGTTATTGGTGGCTTTTCAACGATTTGGGTGAGTTTTATCACTATATTATTGACAGGTGTCAATTATAGACCAATATCATTGACAGGTGTCAATCATAGACCGGAATAACTAACGTATACAACACGTAAGAACATTTTCTTGTCTTCGTAGCATCTTCAATGTAATGAGGACCAGTGTGATGGAGGCTTACGATTAGAATAACTTCGTGTATTTTGACTTTAAAGGTTCAGCGAACAAGCACCAAAACCAAAAAAATATGAACTGCAAAACGCGTCCAAAGTTATAAAACGGCTGCTGAAGAGATACGACAAGTTTGCTCGTCCACTAGT